CGGCGTCACGCGTGGGGTTAATTTGGGACATTTTGTGTTTTTGTTCATCCCCTTCCTCTCTCCGGCTCTGATTTGGGCTGCGTAGGATGAGATATGTGTAAAAGAAGCTACAAATGAAACCACAGCAGCTATGCCTTGAACAGAGCAAGTCCTTCACAGAAGGTCTTGGTGCCCCGAGAGAAGCATCCAAAAATAGTGCGCATTTGAAGTGTTCTTGCTTAAATTGCCCCACCTCGCTGTCCTTCATCTGTGAGCTGAAGTAATAATATTAATTTGCCTCAGGGATCCCATGAGGAAAACTGCATTTTGTGAAGCACTCAGTAACATGAGAAAAAAATACAGTGTTTTTCTGTTCAGCACAGGTTCCGAGGGAGACACGTTAAATAAAGTCCAAGAGTAAATATAAAAGCTCTAGATTTCACTGAAGAACCTTGAGGGTCTTGCGGAAGAAATGAAGTCGTTCCACAAGCATTAGAACTAAGGGGTTTTGGCTAGAAAGTCAGGCTGTAGGCACTGGCTTAATGAGGTCCTACGTCCATGAATATACGTGCTCTCCCTATGGGACATCTCCGATGGAGGGATGAAATCAAGGATACATTGAAGAGGCCCAAGTATATTGAGAGTAGATGCAGATCTTATGAATTCTGCCAAGGACCTGCTTTATTTTAATATTTTTATAGCCGTGACCAAGCTCCTTTTCTTTGCTATGACACTGCTTAAATCTTCAGTAAATATTCCCCCTTTCCATCTAATTTTAAATCCCCTCATATAGGCAGCCTAGTGAGCGGTACCTAAGCAGGACTGAGCTAGTTCTCCATAAAATAAAATAATCTAGGATTTTGTTCATCAGCCAGGACAGAACTGTTGCACATTTGGTATTTCTAGCACATGAAACTGCCTTGTTTGCAGTTATTGTTCAAGCGAATATGATTGCAGAGTGCCAAGATATTAATCAAGGCAGTGGCATCTCGTTAAGATGACCCTCCAGGCAGAAGGCAAATTCAACAGCAGCAAAGCAGCAGAATATCCTTTTGGAAGGGATCTCCGTGCCAGAGCCAACCAATTTACTTTATTAGGCAATGAAAACCTGTGTCCTGACATTGCTCAACCACAGAAAAGATAATTTTGCCCTAAATCATTTAGAGTTGAAGGGTACGGGTAATAGACAGACAGACGAGGTCACTAGTTGAAGACACTGCAGTAGTTTAACCCACTTCATATCTGCTTCGGTTGTCAGTGTCATGGATAATAAAATCCAGCAGAGCCCCAGGCAAGCAGAGGAGGGCAGTAGCACCACAAAGTGTGAGCACTGTGTTTGGCAGGCAAGAGTTCCTTTAACACAGAGCTTTTTAGTATTAATCACAGATATACTTTACCCTCTCACAAAGTTTTGTCTCATATCTGTATCATAACACTTACTGTCTTTATAACATGCTTGTGTCTTTACAGTAATTTTAAAATCTGGTAAACTTTCCAATTCACAGCAAAACACAAGATGTTGCAGCACTGATGTGATTTATTTCAAAATTGATTCGTACCTTATTTCTCCTTTAAAAGCAACTTGGGGCACTTCATTGTAGTGAAAGACCTGAGAGTGCAGAAACAAATGCTTTTGAGAAGAACTTGCAGGTGTGACTTTCCAAGGTATTCTTTAGTTGCTACAGCATATGGATTACAAATTGCAACAAATAACCTTGCTTAACACCACTAATGTGCTACAGCCAGCACCCTGAACCTGCAAAATTTACGTGTAAGTGTCTGATTCCTGTGCTGTAATTGGCAAATTTTATTTCCCAAAGTTCAGTCTATATGAATGAGTGCTTCCATCACATATCATTCTGGCCTGCCTGGAAATCTACTTTTGCTATAGTTAATACAGATACTTTATAAATCTCAAAATAATTTCAATGTGATTGGCCAAAGGAGCTTTGGTCTTTTGCTCTTGTACTTTGAACAAGTACAATCCAGCTTTCCCTCCCCTACAAAATAATATTTGTCCTTGGCAGGGAACATAGCTGGGACATGAACTTTTTATTTTATATAGATATTAACTAGCAGAAAATCCTGCAGACTAATACAGTAGCCTGTAAAATTTGTTGTTTTAGAATTGTGTGGGTTTCTGGTTCAGAATTCAAAAGGGGATCTCTTAAAAAATACCATTTTTGATGCAATATGTGTTTTGTACCCTGTATGCTTTTTTGATAACTGTTAGTCAGAATCAACATCAGAAATGCACCACCCCTGTTGTGCTGGGTGTAAATATTAACTTGTCCTTCAGTTTATCCCATTGTGTTGCCTGCGTACAGGTTGAAATAAGGCCTAGGCTAAAGAAACTATTAAAGATTTGCTCAGAAGGAAGAAAACCTTTGAACACTTTGGTATAAAAATATTGCAGCATTAAGTGACAGCTCATTGCTTACATAGTAGCTGAGGGGAAAAGGAGGAAGCTTGGGAGAAAAAAAGGGAGCATGAATGACAATATTTATTCAAATAAAGGGGGCAGAGCTATCATTCATCAGAGAGGTGTGGCTGGTGAATTAGTTTTAAATAGGTAGGACAACAAGGTGGACTCTCCAGTTTAGGAAATGGTTCCCATTAGCAAGAGACCACAAGTGGAACCTGTGCAGATCACAGAATCCCAGAATGGTTGAGGTTGGAAGGGACCTTGAGAGATCATCCAGTCCAACCCCCCTGCTCCACATGGCACAGGGTGGCATCCAGGCGGGTTTGGAAGATCTCCAGAGAAGGAGACTCCACAACGTCTCTGGGCAGCCTGTGCCAGGGCTCTGTCACCCTCACAGGAAAGAAGTTCTTCCTCACATGGAGATGGAACTTCAGCATGCTGCAATTACTGCTTTTTGACCATTCAGAAATAGTTGCCACTTCATTCAAATTCAAATTTCTTGATCCCTAATCAGTAATTATTCACAAAATGTGGCTTCTTCTTGGCAGCAATTGGTTTCTGGTGTTCAAAATTTATATTCTTTGTTTAATTTCCAATGTTTTTGCCATGCGCTTGAAGAGACACGTCTGACTTAGAGCCTGCCTGCTCAGAGTTTGGAGTGGGAGAATAAAGCATTAGTATCTGGTCTGTCTACCAGCAGCACTGCAGAGAAAATAAGCAGTATTTTGGAGTAAACTTAAAAAAAAGAAAAACTAAAAAAGGTCATGTTTTCTTCTGCCCAGTTCAGACTGAGCAACATTCATGATCTTTTGCTACCAGTGGATATCTTCCCTGATTACAGATTGCAAAATGGCTTTTAACTGAGAATTGATGGCAGAGTACACGTAATGATTATAAAGTGTTAAAATAATAATAAAAATTGTCTAAAAAATATGTCTAGTTTATCCATCTTCAGAATTCTTGGTAGGTTTTCTGCAAGTTGTTTTAGGCTCATGTTACAAGAGAAGTATTTGCAGAAAAGGAAGCAATAAAACGACAGTTCTAAAGGTTGAGGTATTGCTTATACTAAACTCTACTTCTCCTTTTCTGCTTCTGTTCCACATTTCATCTGACTAGTCTCTTCTCAGTTGCTGTAACCCTGCCCCTATGCCTGGAGCAGGTCTCTGTGCTATCCTATCACTGGTTTTTCTCCTTTCAGCTCTCTTTCCTATTACTCATCAGTTATTATTAAGTAATTTTCCTAACCTTAACAGCTTTCTGTCACAAGCAAATTAATTCCTGCAGTTTTAAATCATGTTGGCACTGTCTGCTTCTTACCAGAAGGGCAGTAACGCTCTCCAGAAAGGACTTTTATTTCACCTCCTGCTTTACATGAGCCCCCAACGGTGCCTGCTGAAGCTTGCAAAAACCACCTCACCTCCCAAGCTCTGAGCCACCCAGAGGCAGAGTCTGTAAAAGGGTTTCTATAAATTCCATCTTCATGAAAGTAAACTGCTTTTCTTCTGAACACGCTTAATACTACCACTTTTTTTTTTTTTTTGTATGTGATAATTCCTCACATACAGTTTTCTCTTTGGGGACTCAGCTGAATTGTGCTTAATTCCCAACTTCTCCCTTCCCAGGCATTGTGGCTTATATTACTTCAGGTTTTCATAGCTTACATTTTCTATCATAAAGAAGGTACTAGGCAACATCTGTAGTTATCTTGATATAAGATACAGTGCTGCTTCTCTGAAGGCATCTTACATAACAATAACATGGATGCGTCCTCCCCCATCTGTCGCGCTTACATAATCAAGAAGGATTTTAACAATAAGATCATAAAACACATAACCAGTAGCTGTAAACATCGTTAGTTTACAAAAATTGCACTTAGTGGTGCAATGTAAGGTAGAATTCAGTGCTGAAGATGTATCTTTGATGTATCCTTTGAGGCTTTGAGGTATCTCTCTTGCTCTTCTGTCAAATTTTGCAGCATAGGGAATGGAGATAATAATCACTAACCTGATCTTTTTCTTCCTGTGAGAAGGAATATCCTTATCTTCTTCACAGTTATCTCCTTACTCCCTGTTTGCATATCTGAAGCCTGTTATATTCAATATATGCATTTACCTTAAATCCAAAGGAGGCCGTAGGTGTTGTCTACACAACAAAGTCATATATAGAACTATGCAGTATCACTATAACATACTGAATTGATTAAAGCCTGCTTATTAAGAGCTATTAGAAAGCCATTTAAATGAAGAATTGTCATACAGAAGAGTTTTTAATTTAATTCGAAAGGAATCCTTCTTGACTCAGTGCTATTCAATTATCTCAATCAATTATTTGGCAAAAATTAAAACACTGCTCATAAAACTAGCATCTAATTTCAGGCCTAGATGGACCAGTCACCACTGAGAGATTTAAATCACAGAGTGAGCAAGAGTCGCTTGAACAGCGTGTGCTGTAATCTCCCCCCAAATGGTACTCTGTGCGTGCAAGAACCCAAACGTGGCGCAGGCTTTTGGGGGCTGTAAGGAAAGCAAATATTGTCTTTTAGAAAGCCTTAAATCCAAAGAGGATGAGATGAAGGTAAAGAAATGACTGCAAGTTGTCAGCACGCATGCTGGGTGGCTAAGCAAAAATACCAAAAAGCAGCATGGGCCGCTATGGCCGTGGCACAACAGCGAGACCGGTCTGGATTCATCAGCTGTAAAAGGCACCACAGACTGGAAAGGTCCTTGGGAGACCTAGGATGAGTCATGGCCAAGAAAAATCTGCTCTGTATTTGAAGGTGATGTGTAATTATCCATACAGAGAAAAAAAAATAGAGCAGAAAAGCACTTTTAATCATTCACATATAGCAGAACACAATCATTGAAAAAGCTCTGGACATGCCTAAGAGAGCGGTCTGGATTCATCAGCTGTAAAAGGCACCACAGACTGGAAAGGTCCTTGGGAGACCTAGGATGAGTCACGGCCAAGAAAAATCTGCTCTGTATCTGAAGGTGATGCGTAATTAGCCATACAGAGAAAAAAAAATACAGCAGAAAAGCACTTTTAATCTTTCACATATAGCAGAACACGGTCATTGAAAAAGCTCTGAAAATGCCTAAAAGTCCAAGTGATTAATAAAATCCTGGATATTTATACGTCCAAGTGGTTTTCCAATAACAAATAC